CCGTCGCTTTCGTCTTGACGCAGGCCCCAATCCACGCGCCATCTGGACCCCCTTCGAGGCACCATTTCCCCATGTGGTCCCAAGTTGCGTCGTCGCTCCGCAGTGCCCCGTAAAGCTTGCGCATTTCGGCGCAGGCGACGACCCGTGCCATTGCTTCGGGGCGCGTGGCTGCAGCTGTCTCCACGAGGGCTACCTCGGGCACAGCGCATACTGCGGCCCGCTTCTTGACCCGCTTGCCGTCGCGCTGGCGCGCCGCAGCGGCCGCCGTGACGGAGAGCTTGCCCACTGGTAGCGGGGGCTTCAAATCGGCCACTAAGTGCAAATACGCCAGAGATGCCAATCTGGACGTCGGCACTGTGGCTTTGGCTCCAGCGTCCACCAAGTGGTGCATGTACTCGATGAGCCGCTCCTCCGCGTCGGACATGGGTTCGTCGCGAGGCCACGGGGAATGGTTGGCCTCGTACCACATTATGAAGCCCATGATGTTGCGGGCGTGGAGCTGCGCCGTCCGGTGCGACCACTTCCGGAGCATTGTACTCGGGTGTCGCCGATGCCACTCTCCGAGCTTGAGCAGCAGCTTCCGGGTCTGCCCACCGACCACGGCAAAGATCGTGGACCAGGCGGTCGTCGCTTTCACCATACCTTCGTCGCGCAGGTGCGCCGGGCCGAGGCGAACAGCCTTGGCGACCGGGGGTGGTCTCCGCCTCCGCCTAAGCTCGGCGCGGGGCGCGGCTGGGCGGTCGGCCTCGGGGCCGGCCAATGTTCTGCCGTTGGTCGCCGCTTCTGCGGGGCAGCGTAGCGCGGCTTCAGCCGATGACACGGCCACCGCCAGCGGGGGCGTCTCCAGCTGCTTCCGCGCGGCCAGCGGTAACCTAGCCACTTCGGCGCATGGCAGCTTACGGGTGCCGTTGCTGGGCGGGCTGCGCACTTGCGCCAGTTCCGACCCAACTAGCAAGTCGGCCGGTAAGGCATGCCGCGCGAGCGGCGCCCGCGGCAGCATTGGACCGCATGGCTACGGTGCGCGCGTGACGCTCCCCTGTTGGCCAGCTGCGGGAAGCTCCGCTCCGCCTCTCAGGTCCTGCCCCGAGCGGGCCGGGGGGGGGACGCGGGCCCCCGACTGACGGCGGGCCGGCACCGGCGACGGCGACCGCGACCGGCGGCAGCAGCGAGGCAGCGCAGACCGCGACGGCGACCGCGACGACGACGACGCAGCGGCGGCGGCCACCAGGGCGGCGCGGCGGCAGCGACCGACGGCGCAAGCGACACCGACGCGGCGGCAACGGCCAAGACGCCGACGACACAGCCCGCGGCAGCGACGCCGACGACGTGGCCGCGACGCGAGGACGGCGACAGCCACGCGAGCCAGGCGCCCCAGGCAGAGGAACCGACCCAGGGGGGGGCCCGGGCGACGAACGACCCTGGAAGGGCAGGGCCCGACGAGGACGCGAACGGGCCACGACCCCGGGCCCGGAACCGAAGCGGGCGTGGGCCCGACCCCGGGGGGAAACCCAAACCCCGGAGACCCAGGAAGGCCGGGCCGAAACAGGACCGAGGGCCAGGGCCGCGAACACGAGCGAAAGCGACCGCCGGGCGGGAAGCCGGCGGGCCCGGCCGACGCCGGGCGCAGAGAGCTCCGGCCTAGCCGCATCGCAAGCAAAGAAACAGCGAAACGCGCGGCAGCCCGCCAAAAATCAAAAAGAATGCAGGCGCCATCGCTGCGGGGCCGCCACGCCCGCGCGGGCGGCGGCCGCCAAGCGCGCCCCCTCTCCGCGCCGCCCTGCAGCGCTGCGAGCGCGCGCGCGGTCCCCCCTCCCCCGCCCCGTCAGCCCAGCATGCCCAGCCCCACCCTGCCCAAGGCCGGGGCATGCATGCTAGACATTACCTTATCTGCTACGTCTTCGCTCTGACGATCGAGGAGGTCCCCGATCGAAGGAGTGATTCCCACCGCTCAGACTGACAGGTTCAGCCCCAACATGGTCCCTCTGGGGGGTCGCTCACGATCTGGTACCGACTGGCGCGGCCTGCGTAAGCCCAGCGAAGGCACGGTGAGAGACGAAGCGCCCGGGAGTCAAGCAAATCCCCCCGCGGCCCCTGCGGCCCAACTTGAGCCAAAATGGCCGGAAGGAGGCAGAGGAGGAAGAGAAGGCGGGGGAGGAGGAGGAGGAGGAGGAGGAGGAGGAGGAGGAGCAGCAGAAATAGAAGAAGAAGAAGAAGAAGACAAGGAGGAGGAGGAGGAGGAGAAAGAGGCTGGGACTGGGCGGGACCTGCGCACATTCTACCTACGGCCCACGCAGGCTCGCCCGCACCCAAACAGACGGCCTCGCATCTGCCCAAATGGTCGACTGTCAGCGCGACCGGTATCCCCACCAGGAAGGCCTTGACCTCGTCACAATGGTCTTTGAGACTGGGGAGCGGCCGTCCGACGAAGCGGTGAAAAGCGTGCGCAACTACGGTGCCGGCTTGGCGGACGCCGACTGGTCGGAGCTCTTGAGCCGGATCTCACGCACCCTGCGGCAAGGGAAGACGATCCTGAGCGCTCGGACGAGGTAGGGTGCAGCAGGCTGCTTCTGCAAAAACCACCACTAGCAGCCCCAGCACGGCAACCACAAGCGCGGCCACCGTTAGCACGACCACCGCCTCCCCCACCGTCGCGGCCCCCGCGACGACCGCCGGCCCGACCACCACGACCGCGACATTCAGTACCGCAGACCGACCGCTGGCGCCGACCATGACAACCACCACTGCTATGAGCGCCAGCACCACCGCCGACGGCCAGCGCCGCCAACCCGTCGGCGTTCACGCCCACGATAGGCGCCGACGCCCCACCCGCCCCCCGTCCCGCCCCCTTGCCCTCCTTCTCTGCTGGCCGGCCGCCACCGCCTGCAGCGCCCTGCCCCCATGTTCCTCCCGTTCCCTTCCAGCCGGCCCTGCTCGCATTTCTCCCGGCGTCTGGGCGTCGGCGCTGCATGGTTGGGACATCGATGGGAGCTTGCACTCAGAGGCGGAGCGCCACGGGGCCAGTCCTCCAAGAGACGGTGTCCGGTAGGTTGCGTTTTTCGTGGCTAGGGATCTGGGACCATAACCCCGACGCCCAAGGGTCCCCCTTGGTGACGGGGGTGGGAACACACTCGGGTGCCCCTGGGCCTTCTTCGGGAGGAGGAGGAGGAGGAGGAGGAGGAGGAGGAGGACCAATGTAGACCCAAGATTCATCAACGATGTTGGAATAAACCCTCCCTCCAAGCTCTCTCTTCATAGGCCCCTACAAAGGTTCATGTCCACTGGGGGAACCTCCTCACTGGGAGACAACCGTTTTAAGACCCTGAAGCGTGCCAAAGCACCACCGCCACGAATCAACATGACTGTTGCGTTTTGACGCTTCAAGAGTCGTGCCAAAACACCGCTCCTGGGGCTCCAACACCGCGAATCAACGAAACTGTTGCGCCCTTACAATCCTGAGTCCTTCCAAACATGATTTCTGGCACGTTGACCATGGGATTCCGTGAAACACTGGCACCACTTTAAAGCGAAAGTGCGCGGCGCTACGGCGAGAGCCACGTTTTGAAAAGGAGCCGCCCTCAATCCGCGAAACTCTTGCAATTCGTTAAAGACGAATGCGCGCGGCGCTCAGCAAAGAGCCACATTTGGACTTAACCATCCTGAATCCGCGAAACTCCTGCAAACGTTGGAAACAAATGTGTCTCGCCGCTGGCGACAACAACATTTTGAAAACGACACGCCTTCAATCCGCGAAACTCTTGCAAACTTATACGACGAATGTGCGCGGCGCTAAGGCGAGAGCCACATGTTGAAAACGACCCGCTCTCAACATGGGAGACTCTTGCAAATGATTAAAACGAATGCGCGCGGCGCTAGGGCGAGAGCCATCTTTTGAAAACCACCCGCCCTCCATCTGTGAAATTTTTGCCAATGTTTGAGCTTCAGGGTCATAAAATGTGATGACGTCTTGGGCAAAACGCCCAGCCCGCCCTTTCGACTGGCCTGGGGGCGCGACAGGGAAGAGTTATTCACAAGGAAAAGGAATGGAGGGGGGAGGACCGCCAACATCAGCAGATCTGCGCGCGGCAGTTCGGGGCCCGAGAAAGGTATCTGAGTGTTCGGGGCCAGTGCACAGTTCACGACCCCGATCGTCCTCCTCCGGCTCCTCCAGCTCCTCCAGCTTCTCTTCCTCCTTCTCCTCCTCCTCCTCCTCCTCCTCCAGCTCCTCCTCCTCCTCCTCCTCCTCCAGCTCCTCCTCCTCCAGCTCCTCCTCCTCCCTCAGCTCCTCCTCTCCTCCTCCTCCTCCTCCTCCTCCTCCTCCTCCTCCTCCTCCTCCTCCTCCTCCTCCCTGGAAAGGACCGTGGGCGCCCCTAAGATCGCCCGAAGACAGCCCAAGAGGCCCGCAAGAGGCCCCCAAAACGACCCAGGAGGGCCCCAAGACGCCCCAAGAGGCCTTCAAGGCGCCCCAAGAGGCCCCCAAGAGGCTCCCGAGAGGCCCCCAAGTGACTCTCAAGAGGCCCCAAAACTGCCCCCCAGAGGTCCCCGAGAGCGCTCCGAAGAGACCCCAAGAAGCATCACTGCAGACACTGACCCACGTCAGCGTCGTCATCGTCGTCGCCGCCGCCGCTGCCGTCCCCATTCAGGGTCGGCGGCACCGGCTGGAACGCCTTAGCAATGTTAACCTGCAAGGCATCGTGGAGGCCTTCTGAAGGTTGGAGGCCTTCTGTTGGCGGCAAGCCCAGGGGTGGTAGCAGAGCTGAGACCGCTCAGAGGGCCTCCAACCTTTCGAACAAAAATTCTCGGCCCTCTCCGAAGACACAGGCGGCTTCTCGGAAGGCCAGAGGGCTTCTGAGAAGCCACGCCGCCTTCTGAGAAGGCTTGCCCCCTGTCACTTCCCCTCAGCGCCCGCCGCCGATCTTGCAGAGCTGGGGGCCAGAGAAGGACAGGGGCAGGGCGGTGATCCCGCCCGTGACGGCGAGTCCGGGCAGGGGCGGGGAGGGCGCCCGCAGCAGGTACCACTTGTTCGTCTTCCACGTCCGCCTGCCGGCCTGGGGGCGCTCAAGCGGCGGCGGGAGATGGCCGGGCAGCGCCCTCCTTCGCCGCCCGGCACCGGAAAGGCCATCTGAGCCCGCGCCCGCGTCGGCTAGGTTCCCTCGAGCGGTCCCTATGCGTCGTCTCGCCTGGAGCCTATATTTTTACAGCGGCCGTCATCGGCCCCGCCCCCCTCCCCCAGATGACGTCACGTTCCGCGCCAGCGGCGTCCGGGAATGCCCAGGGATGACCGAGGCCAAGTAGGAGCAGCATGTATGTGGCGATCTGCACCACAGCGCCTGTGTACACCACAATGCTCGCGTGCACCACAGCGCGCGTGTACACCACAGCGCATGTGTACACCGCAACAGCCGTGCAGCGAAGCGCCTGTGTACACCGCAGTGCACGCGTGCAACACAGCGCCTGCGTACGTACACCACAGCGAATGTGTACACCGCAGGAACCATGTGCAACACAGCGCCTGTGTACACCACAATACTTGCATGCACCGCAACGCCTGTGCACACCATGGTGCCTGTGTACACCACTGCATCCGCGTGCAACGCAGCGCTGGCGTACACCACAGTGCCATGTCGAGAACCCGAGGGGACCATGACCACGACTGAACGCGGAAACGTCGTATCGATCTTGGTCGCCGTCGATCTTGGTCAGCACAACTTCGTGGATCATCCTCGCAAATAGGCGACGGCCGACATGGACAATATGACCAAGATCGACGCCGACGAGACCCCGCGACATCTTGGTCATGGTCTCGTGTTCCTTACCTCGAGAGGAGGTCGGAAGACGGGGAGGAAGAAGCGGAGTCCTGCCGCACCCCTCCACTCGGGGGGAACGTAAAGGTGGGGTAGGGGCAGAAGTGGGGTTGGGAGGAAAATCACTGTCAACGGCCCATGGAAGAAAGAAATGTGAGCATCCAGCTGCGTTCGTTCCCTAACCCCACCTTGGGAGAACCCCCCTCTACGAAACCCCGATCTCGGGGGGGAAACCCTGGAGGCCTGCCGGAAGCCGAGGCGAGCTCTCGAGGCTCTCCCCTCTCCTGGATGTGACTACCTACCAGACCACCCCAACCCAACCCGAAGACCCGAATTTGACCCGAATTTCGGGTTGGGGGCGGTACGGGTTCCATGTGTTTTTTCAACGTTCCCCGACCCCCCCCCACTGGAAATGGAGGGCAAATCTGAGCCTTCGGGTTGGGTTGGGGTGGTTTGGTGGGTGGTGAGGATGGCCCCGGGGGGGGGGGGGGCCTGCCCGAGACCAGTCTCGAAGACTGCTGGACTCCGCCTCCTGCTGCTGCCGCTCCTCCGTCTGCTGCCCCTCACCCTCCCCGTTGCCTCCCACCCTCCAGGTTGAGATCGGACAACACCAGCGGGCAACCGTTGCCCGACTTGGCCCTAGCTACACCGACATATCGTCGCCATCGCGCAGCCTCGCCTCGCCCGCGCGCACGCACGACACGAAGCGAAGCCGAAGCCGGTTTCCCAAGTGAGGACACCTCGCCCTCAGCCCCCGCCCAGCGACAGAAGAAACAAAAACTGTCGGAGGTGCGCGCGGAGCTTTTGGGTCAGCGCTGCCTCCCCCTGCCCACGCCCCTTCCCCAGCGCGCGGAGCGCACAGGGGGCGGCGCCAGATGCACCGCCAAGGGAGGGCGCGCCCGAGTCCGCCCGGGAGGCGGGGCCCGGAAGGCCGGCGCGTGCGGGCCAGGACCCTCAGTTGTAGATGTGGAGCTTGTGGTCAGTGCTGCGTGTGTGGCGTGGGAACGCTTGTTCCGAATTGCTCCGTTGAGTGCTGTCCTGCGCTGGTGTAAATCATCGTTCGCTTCCAGGTTCGAGAAACATGTCTGCTGTCAGAGTTTGTGTGGTATCGTCTTCCCGCCTCTTCCTCTGACCCCCGTGTCTGCGGACTGCTTGCCGGAGGTCGTGGATGTCCGGCTCTCACGTCGCAGCAAGTCGGGCCCATCGGAGTCGGAACCTGCAGAATACCTTCAACCATTCCGCCAATAGAAACAATCAAGATCGTGAGCCGGAGTCGAAAAGGCGGGAGCTGGAATCGGATCCAGGGTCGGGGAGGCGGGATGGGAGCTGGAGTCGGAGAGGCGGGAGCTGGAATTGGAGCCGGAATCGGAGAGACGGGAATCGCAATCGGAGCCGGGGTCGGAGAGATGGGACGGGCGCCGGAGTCGGAAACCAGGAAGCTGGAATCGGAGCTGGAGTCGGAGAAATGGGCGCCGAAATTGGCAACGGAGTCGTAAAGATGGACGGGAGCTGAAGTTGTAAAGTCGGGAGCCGGAGCCAGGGCTGGAGTCGGAGAGATGGGAGCCGGAGTCGGAACCAGCAGAAGACTTTCAACCATTCCTATCAACGTAAGTAATCTAGATCGTGAGCCGGAGTCGGAAAACCTTCAACCATTCCTGCCAACATAAAAAATCAGGATCGTGAGCTGGAGTTGGAAAGA